TTTACATAAAGATACAAATTGTATACACCTATTCTGGGAATATCATTATACTATCATAATTTAATATTGTTAATGAAAATGAAAATAGCTATTAATAATGAAAAGAGCTATTAAAAACCTACTGCCATCAAGTGTTCTTACAACTAGTTAACAAAAGATAATAAAAATATATATTCACAACTAAATAACAATGTACAAACTATACTAAGTTATAAGAAATTTATAAAATTTGTTCAGTTATATTTGCTATGGTCATATTTACATGTGTTCTACAATTAGATTGAAAATTATTATTAAGCTTTGTAATGTATTCTGTTACATATGGAATATTTCGATGAATTAAAGTAAATTTAACAAAAAGTATATATGTAGAGCAGGGCGAGGCGCAAAAGTCCAATTTGACTTTGAGCAAATATTAATTATATTATAAAAATCAAACCAATTATATCACAACAAATAACACATTTCAAACGAACAATTATCTGACTAAGTTCAGTAAACTGCCTCTAAAAAAAACTTCACTAAAACTTCATCATTGTAAAAATGTGCTTTTATGCTGTTTTTCAAAAATATGTTATCTATACCTTTTTACCCATAGACGGGGTAACTTGGAATGGCCAGGTGGCAAACAGGTTTAATGTTTAATTTTACTTTTAAATGCATTTTTCAAAATAATTACTTTTTTAACTAATGCTAAAAATCTACCAAAAAATTGATTTGCAAAAAAAGAGTGCTACAACGCCAAAAAATGCATTTTCATATTAACATTTCAAAAAAGTTGATATTTTGAATTTCTAGTAACACTTGCGGCCCGTTTAACTACGATTTAATTATAATTAAATAATATTCACGTAAGGCATCCTATCAAACGTAATTGAATATCATCTGTCAAAAACGTTTGACATTTGACGTATTAGCCACCGTTCATTGTTTTATTTAACTTATGCTTCTACAAAAAATTTTAAATTAAAAATGTAAAGTTTATGTGCGATTTTGAAATAATATCTCACCTTTTCGACCATCTCTGGAGTGGCACAAATTTTTCAAGACTAAGACTGGCCAAATCGGCTTAGCCGTTTTCGAGTTTTACCGAATCATTTGATCGAGAGCTCCATTTTTATATATAATATTATTATTCGATTTATATTATATAACACCCTCGTGCTACCAATGGACCATCATCATCATAAATGTTCTACATTAAGACACCACCGTGACCAAATAAATTTATATTAGCATCTGTAGTCTTAAGCGTCACGAATTTTATACAGGGACCATGACGAATCACTTCATCATTCAACTAAATCTATCTAGCCATATATATATATATATATATATATATATATATATATATATATATATATTATATATATTATATTGTCTATTATAAGGGATGATGATGGTTTGCGTGACCGCCGAAGAGATAGAACAAGGGTGACGCCCATGGAATGATTTTTATTTGAAGGGTGGTTTTGAACTCTACGACCTGTTTTTGGAAATTCATGATATATAAACTGTATTTAAATTGAACTATATATACTTAAGATTTTTTTGTTCGGCATTAAATCACATTCTTGAATGTCTATGTTTGGTAATTTTTTTTAATAGAGAACAATGAGTTTGAATTGTTTATTCTGTACGTTTCGACACTGTATGTGTGTCATTATTAGGCACGTTCTCAAAAATTGTGTAATTTTAACGGATACTAAAAATTGTAAAAAACAGTAAGATATATAAACTAGTGGGGCGCATGGCATCATGCCTTAAGGCAAATTGCTGGAACTTCCCGTACCAAAAATTATAATTTTTTAAAAACGATTGACATTTTTGAAAAAAATTTACTCATGAAAAATTTGATTTTTGACAATTTTTGACAAAAACTTCCTTTTTTTTGAAAAAAAAGACTGAAAAAAAAATTATTTTGAAATATTCTAAACTTTTTTTCAAAGCAATCGTACTGCTTCAACTGCATAGAGACGAAATATCGAAACGCGTAAGCGCCGCGTCGCCGTCTAACGGATAAACACTGGTACGGAACCCACAGGAATATAAACAAAATTCATATTTATTGTTTGGCACTTTTTGCTTCATATCTTTGGAACGGCTAGACCTGCCTTCGTCAAAAACTAATCAGCACGTCTCCTTATCAATACGAATCGAATGTTTTTTAAATTATTCAAATCGCTTCAACCGTGTTCCCGAAATCGTCGACGAATATTTGTATCCGCATACACATACACACACGCACACACACACATACACACGCACGTACATCCATTTTTTCTAAGGTATGCCAAAATGTTCAGAAACCTCTGAAACATAAAGATATATAAAAATGTTCATTTTCGATTTTTTGCGATTACTATAATTTACCTTACGGGTAGTCTAATTTTTTTAAACAATATTTTGCTTGTAACAAAATAAAAATGCTGATAGTTTTCGAATGGTAACTTTATTTACTATTATCTAATAATTACAACTTTAATAATACTATAATTGGATTTTAAATTATCTATATAGAACCTGAAAAATACATTAGATTTTGTATTTAATATTCTAAAAATGAAATGTTTTTTTTTTAAATATATATACATATTTATGAATATTAGCAGCCAATTTTTTATAATAACTTACAAAAATTTTTGGAATATGTTTTTAAGTACGTTGTGATTCTAAATGTGTGCCATCCATTGCATTTAATTAAATAAAAAAAATATATTTAATAAATAAACAAGAAATGTGAAAAAAGTCCTAATTTTTTCTCTTAGTTATAAATAAAAAGTAAATAATAATTAAACATTTTTAAATTAATTTTATTTTTGTACACGAGTTTGCTGCTAATATTATACATATATATATATACATATATATATACATATATATATATATAATATATATATATATATATATATATGATATATAGGATGATAGGTGAAGACAGGTGTAAATTTTCCCAAAGCATTTTGTGCGCCCCACATTATATCATTTAACCTCAAACTTTGGGGGCACAAATTTGTATCGTCCCCTAGTTTTTGTTATCCTATATATATATATATATATATATATATATATATATAAGGTTGTCAATTATCTCCCTTCCGCCTTTTTGTATTATAAACGAAGAGCAAAAAAGCGGAAAGGAGATATTTGTCAACCTAATTTCTATTCGTGTATATCATTAAACTGTACCTAAACGCCTGGTTCAATTTCGATAAAACTTTT